AAGAACAACCTTCAAGTGATTCTCCCCTCATCCCATAATATTCTTTAAAAAGCCGTCTTGCAAAAACCCACAGATAAGTCTTGTTATCTGTGTCCTAACTGGTGAGACTGTGGTTGTCCTTTGAGTCTTTCAGTTCAGATTGTAAGCAAAACACGTCCAGGCCTTACAGTCTTTGTAGGACCCCCTCAGGAAAACCCAGAGGGAATTTTCCTCTTGGTTTAACTAAGCCAAACCCAGTTCTGCTGGCAACTATTACTTTGTACATCTTACATGCGGTCAGTTGTTGATGTTCTGGCTCAGGCTCACATGGAAAAATGCTTGCATAATAGTACGTGGTTCATGTGAGTGAGGGAACGGTGTCCTACGGGATTCTCTTGGGTAATATGTATTCAGGGACATAGGACCTGTGGAAGTAGTGGGGATGACTACCTAGAAGCAACTTACATATTTAAACAATTACTGCCTAACAAATGTAGATTGGCATGACCAGGATAATTTGTAAAATGTCTCTTTCTTCCACGATTAAGAAGGGTGAGTGAAAACACCCACTCAATTTATGATATGACCTGGTGGTTCAGCAGTAAAGAATCTACCTGCCATGCAGGAGCCCTGGGTAGGGAAGATCCCCTAGAGAAAGAAATGGCAACCCACTCCAGTATTCATACCTGGGAAATCTCATGGACAGAGGAGCCACAGTCCGGACCATGGGGTCACAAAAAAGTTGGACATGACTGAATGACTAAACAACAGCAAAGCAGTAAGGAGCCAACAGGCCAGCGTTTTCCTTCCTAAACCAGAGAGATGTATTCATTCATCCACCAATCCAACAAATTATGTGGCTGATGATATGGAGATGATTAAAACAAACCTCCTGCCCTCACAGAACTCAGTCTAGTAACAGACACATATTTAGGTGATTCTAACATAATCAAGTAAGAGAGAAGGGCATTAGATTTTATGAGACTACTTCGGAAGGATACCCAACACAGCTGAAGGTGAAAGGGAGCAGGATCCTATGGTCCTGCCCGAACCCCCTCCGCCCCCCCAACCCCTCCCGAGTCCTCAACCTGTCTTTTGTCTGTGGAAAACTTTAGTCAACAATAAATTTAATCAGAGACTTGAGAAATAGGGAAACAAAGGAAAACAATCAAAGGAGACTAAATAAGAATAACGTACTCATTGAGCATAGTTAAGGACTTTTAGTTCTTTCTCAAAGGGCCATAGATAATATTCTGAGCCATAACTTGTAAGCTGTCTTATAGATATTCAAACACCATGTGGAGACATAAACTACTTGGTGACAAGAGTATACCCAGGACATGAGCTGCCACAATTCCAAGAACTGATCACAAAGAAATGGGAACAAATGACCCTGGAACTGAAGATTAACTGTACCTAAAACAATCAAGACGACACACTGCATTGAAGTTTTTTGGCTTTTTTTTTTGCATTGAAGTTTTGTATCTTACAGGTAGCTGAAAGTTATACAGGGTGGATTTTTAGTTTGGGTTTGTTCATTGGTTAAGCGAGAAATACTAATGTAGAAATGGAGACATAATACAACACTGCAGCTGTTCCATCTGGAGGAATTTTGAAACTTGCAATGCAGGAGACCCAGGTTTGATCTCTGGGTCAGGAAGCTCCCCTGGAGAAGGAAATGGCAACCCACTCCAGTAATCTTGCCTGGAGAACCCTATGGACAGAGAAGCCTGGCATGGCTACAGTCCATGGAATTGCAAAAAAAGAGTCGGGCACAACTGAGCGACTAACAGTTTACAATCAAACTCCTCTGCAGATCAACAATAAGGCAGTGGGCTTTCCTGGTGGCTCAGTGGTAAAGAGTCGGCCTGCCAAAACAGGAGACACAGGTTTGCTCCCAGGTCTGGGAGGATTCCACATGCCCTGGAGCAACTAAGCCTGTGAGCCACAGCTATTGAGCCTGTGCTCTAGAGCCCGGAGGGGCAACTGAGGAAGCCCAGGGCTCCCTAGAGCTAGTGCTCCACAAGATAAGCCACAGCAAAGAGAAGCCCAAGCTCGGCGGCTAGAGAGTAGTCCCCACTCCCGCAACTAGAGGAAAGTCCCAGCAGCAAGGAAGACCCAATACAGCCATCTCCCTGCCCCTCAAAAAGAACCAAAAAAGAAGAATTAGGCAGAAAGTGGAAATAATGTAGAGGAGGTGCAGACAATCATAAACTTTCCTTTGGTCTCTGAATGCCTTATCATCCCTTTCTGCCTTAAGGTCAACTCCTGGATGTTTTTCGAGGTGTTTTTAGTGTGGAAATCGTGGTTCTCTATTCTGTAGGAGTATTGCAAAGACTGAGATATGTAATGTGTATGTTTTTAGGGACTGCATGCATTATTAGCGCATCTTTTAAAGAAGTACGCACCCTCTCTGGACTGATGGGTGTTTCCAGTTTATTTTTATCCTTAAACCTTCTAACTCCACTGAAGATGCTTTCAATACAAATCTAATAATACCGGCAGCTCACGTTTATCACGTACTCAAATCATTTAATCTTTGAAACAATCCTATAAGGTAGGATTGTTACCCTCATTTCCTGCGTGGAGTCAGAATCTGCTGCGTGGTTTCAGAGCCCAGTACTTAACTACTGTTTCTGCACTTTTGGCGGAACAGATCTGGGTCACCTCTTCGACCATAATCTACTAGCAAACTCAGTTTTCCTTTTTGAAACCATTCTCAACTGCCTTCACTTATCAAGGGCTCTCGCCTACGTTCCCGGGTCCAAGAGAAGGTAATTTAATTCACCCAGATGGCACCCGCCCAGCCACGTCCTTCTCAGATTCGCGAACTTTCCCCTTGCCTGAGCAGCGAGTCTGCACCACCGTCCCTTTATTTTACCGGTCTCGGAGCTGCCCGATAGTCATTATTTTAAGTAGCAATACAGTACGAGTATTCTCTAAAAAGACACAGGTCCCCATCAACTCTTACGAGCGAGCATGTTAAATGGACCACCGAGCCTGCCCAGAGTGCAGGCACTGGCGCGAAGGTGTGGGCACCGAAGCGCAGCAGGACCTCGGACTGGGACCGACACGGCGAGCACAGTGGGGGCTACAGCCAGGGACCAGAAACGCTCGGGCCAGGCCCGCTGGGACGAAGCGGGCGGAGCGGGGCGGGGCGGGGCGGGAAGGGGCGGGGCCAGGAGCCCGCCGGGCAGGTCCCCCGCCCCTCCCCCTCCGCTCCCCTCCACAGCCCCGCCCCGCCCCTCCGGCCCAGCCCGGAGGCTCCGCCCTCCGGGTGACGTCACTGGCCAGGCCAGCCGGCGCCATTTTGAAAGTGGAGTCGCCTGCCCTGCCGCTGCCGCCGCCGTCGCTGTCGTAGCCGCCGCCGCCGCCGCCGCCGCCGCTGGAGAAGGAGCAAGAGTGGGGAAGCCCCTGAGTGAAATCCACCATCCCGCCGCCTGGTCTGCCCGCCCCTCCTTCCTTCTCCCCCGACCCCTGCCCCCTCCCCCCACAGGTGCCATCCGCCGCCATCCGCCCTCTCTACCCCCCCATCCCCAGGTGAGGGGGGTGAGTTCAGGAAGCGGAGACCCCGAGGAACCCAGCCGGGTCACCATTTGCAGCGCAACATGGCAGGTAAAGGAGAAATCACCCTCTCCACTGACAAGGCACCGCTTCCTTCCTCCTCCCTCCATCACCCCCTAGCGACCGCCTGCGCCAGTCGGAGAGCCACGGGGCGCCCCTCGGATTTCAGGGAATTGGTCGGGTGGGGTGGGGGTGGGGAGGGTTCTGGGGAGGCGAGTGGTCGCTGTGGCATCGCAGTGGCTTTTAAAATGAGGGCTGGCGCCTGGGCATGGGTGGGGGTGGGGTGTGTGCCGGCGAGCCGAGGGGTAAGGCGTGGGTGGGGCGGGGTGGGGGCGACCGCCGATTTGTCCCTGAGGCCTGGGAGCCGGGAGAAACCTCCGCCCCCGCGCCCCCCCGGGGGGCTTTTTTGCGCCTCTTCCTTCCGGTAATTCCTATTTTTCTCCCTTCTGCAAGCCTTCTCCGGTGTTTCTACAAATAAATCTATTTTGCACCGAGAAGGAAGAGTGCTTTACAAGTTAAAATACAATGGGGACATAGTGTATTTCTTTCCACTGTGGGTACGTATATTTTTGAGACTAAGCCTGAATTTTTTGGGGGGTCTGAAACCATTCTCCCTTTGGTTTCTTACCCTTTACATCCAAAGAGTGCAAGGCCTCTAATACAGCAAGTTGTGTGGAAAATGGAATTTAAACTTACGTTTTGCATGTTAGCTTTTGTGCAGATGTCCTTTTCCCAAAAGGGTTTCATGGAGTTAGTTAAAATAGTTGTGGAGTTCAGAGATATAAATAGCCAACGGAGGAGAGATTTAGGTAAAAGCTTGGAGGGGGAAAAAGATGCAGAGAGAAAACCAGGTTGGAATATTTAACAAGGAATGGAGGTGAAGGGGGAGAAAGGCAATTGCTTCGAGGATTATTTTTGTACATTTTGATGTTGCTGAATATCGTCCTTCATGTAGTAGAATCAATTCTAGATCTCGATCCAGTGTCTTGATAGATGCAGGACATTTTCCTCCGTGCTTGAAAGTGGAATAGAAACATTCAGGGACTAAACCCGTTTTCTGTGCTTACATCAATATTTAGACAGATCACTAAACCTGTAAAAAAGTTAACACGTTGGATCGGCTTAGGGTTTGCTGTGCATAAGTTGCTTTTTGGCCTCGTTGAATAATTATGTGAAATTACAGTTGTTTTGTTTTGCACAAGATGATGACAAATGAGCAGAATTCATTCTTTGCAAGGTCCTTGGGCTTCTGAGGGATTAGGTGAAGGGGAGGCGAAACAAGCTTCCTGTGGCCGTCCCTTCAGGAGCATTCAATTCAGTTTCTCTTCCTCTCAGTCTGGAGCCAGTGATTTGCTGGTAATGAACTGCAAAGAAATGGGTGGCGAGGTTGTGTTTGCTGTTATGTGCGCCTGTGGTGATAGGGTTCATATGAATCACTGCTCCTCACCCAGGCAGTAATGTTCCTGAAGTTTTCTCTTCGTTCCGTGTTTTATGGTAGCTTAACCTTATTAACTCTTCTGCAGGCTTTTGTACCCTTAAAGAAAAACTCTGACTTTTGGTATTTACGTTTTTCTGGTAGGTCTTGCTTGATGTGAGGCTTTTACTGTATTTGAGGGGAAGGAAAACTGGAAGGAAAGTTCTGCACTCGTGTACAGGGGTGATGATAGTACATGGACGACAGATATTTCAGACCTGGAATCTCTCTTTTGAAGACAATACCAACTATTGGGGACTAACCTTTTTCCAAATTTTAGTGCTCTGGGGTGGTGGTTGTATCTGTGGGAACTACCGGGCGGTTAGTCTCATGCCGACCGTGGATACCATCTCTGTGTTTACGAGAGTAAACATGAACAGAACTCAGTTTTAATTGGTATGTTTTCTTTTTCCAGGAGCTGGAGGAGGGAATGATATTCAGTGGTGTTTTTCTCAGGTGAAAGGAGCAGTAGATGATGATGTAGCAGAAGGTAAGAGAGCTTCTAATAATGCAGAATTTGGATATAGAATCTTTTCAAAATCTCGGGTGCTGAAGGACTTTGTAGCAGCTGAATCTGTATTAGTTTAAGGACGTTTTATGTTTGTTGTCCAAGCAGTGGGAGAACAGTTTTAAAAGGTAGTCTTAAAATATTTTATTGTTTATGCTGTGTTTTATTATTTTTTTCCTGATTAAAATGAGGAGCACTAGATAATGATGTATATAAAACTGTCATAAGAAGAATCTAAGGTCCATATGGTAAATGTGTCTTTGCTGTGTAAATTTCATGTACCAATAAATGGTGATACATTTTCATGGTTATGCACCGTATTTTTAGAGATAGCATCTTTCATTTTTAAGGGGTGTTTTTAGTTTTTTTCTTTTTTTAACTTGCCTACTTTGAGAGTGTGGTGTTGAAGTTGGCGTAGTCTCTGAAGAAGTGCTGGCTCTAATGATGCCTTTAATTGTCTTTTAAAGGTTAATTTAGGTGGATAAGAAAAGACAAGTGTAATGGGTATAGAGTATGTCTTCTGTATTCTTAGAAACTGGATTTGATCAGTTGAATTGCTTAGGTATTTATTTTTCCCCCAGATTTGTTTATTAGCATATTTCAGAATTCTCAAATTTTGAAACTTCAAGATTTTTGATTTCTGATGGCATTTGAGATGGTCTTAGACGGAGGAGACATTTTTCATAAAGTAGTTGTATTAGATCATTGTTCAAAAATATTAAGGTATGAATTTTAATAGTATTCTGTGTCTTGAATTACAGTAGGAATTGTCTAAAACTCAGATAAATTAAAATAAGTACTTTTAATTTTCAAAAATTTGTTGAGTGAAAATTTATAAATTCTCTAGATTGTGTTGTCCTCAAGATAAGATCCTGTTTCTGACCTCCTGTCAGTGTGCTGTTTGTTCTGACAGTTTTCCGGGTGATGCTAGGGTGATGGCCTGTGTTGAGCCAGTTGAATGCTTGGGTTTGCTTGAGTCAGTGTCATTCCGATTAAATACCTGATCAGAGCTTGTGGAGTCCTGTCGGGGAGCCAGCTGGCTTCCGTGGCACTTAAGATAGGTCTGTCGCGTTTCTTTCTCTTGAATCCTCATCCATTTTGCAGATGAGAAACTGGAAGCTTAAAGGAGTTGAGACTCATTGCTGGTCATACAAATAGTGCAAATCAAGGTTTTCTGGTGAAGCCTGTGGCATTCAGCTTGTTCAGAGAAAGAAATCCCAAGTTCAAGGGAGGAGTCATGTGTTACTCATTTTGTAACTCCATTACCTGTTGAACAGTAGGCACTCAAATATTGGATCATTAGTTCTGTGCTGTTGTGTAATACACACCAAGTTATGAAAGTGCTGGATCCTTGAAAAACATTCCTTTGTTGATTTCCATTTATTTCCTTTATCAGAGATCTGCTGGGGGCCTGCTAAACATACTAGGGGTCCAATGTGTCTAGAACATAAACCCTGCCCTGAAGGAGTTCATAGTTTGCTTGCTAAATAGGCAAAGACCACATGAATTTTATTTAATCAGAAGAAATTGATGATTTCAAACTTAACCTAACTGAACCAAATGATAGTTTGTGACATATATGATGGATCAGTAAGAGTTTTCTTTTGCTAATACTTAGTAGCTGCATTTTGCTACTGATTCATTACATAATTTTCATCTGAGGTTGTTAAGTATTACTTTTAACACACAGTACACTCTTGGCATTTTAACATGCCGAAGTGTGGTATGTATTATTTTAATAAAAACATGATTTATTCTAGTACCTGTGTCCATACAAATGTAGTAAGTATAAAAAGCACTCAGTTTTCAAGCTTTAATTTGGGTATTTTTGCATACTATAGTTTGCATACTATAGTCTGATATGTTTATTTTACTAAGAAAAGGTTTGTTTTTCTGAAATAAAATAAGATTAATACATTTCCCCCTGGCTTCAGAGTGTGATCTGTAAATGATTACATCCGGGTCAGTCTTTGGCTTGCCTGCTTTCTGTTAAGGATACACCCCAAGTTCTTTTCCATCAAAGGCTCCAAATTGTCTTTTCCTCCTACACACAGTCAGCTGTCATGGCGTACCCTTTTTACCTCTGTAATGCTTTAATCTTCTTTCCATGCCCACTTTCACCTTGGTTAAGGTTCTCAGTATTTCTCATCAGGATTGCTGTAACTTCCTAAATGATTCCTTGCTTCTTGTTAAATGTTTTGCTTCTAAGTTAATCTTAAATGCTGCCCAAGTTTATTTTCCATAGACGTTTTTGGTGGTCACTGTACCCACATGATTATGAATTACCTTCAGATATTTTAGCGTAGAATGTGAGATGAGACTTCTCACCAATATGACTCCTACTTCTTTAAGCTTCTTTGCCAGTGTGTTTTACTATCCAGGTGAATGGATACTGTTCTTCAGACAAGTCCTGTACGGTCTTACTTGGAGGTCTTTGTTTTGTCTTCGTTTTTCGCGCTTCTTCCCATGGAATGCCTGACGCTCGTCCCACTCTTCTCTTAGCAGAATCGTATTCATCCCTCAAGTCATGTCTGTAACCCTTATTCTCATCTCACTTTTCCAGAAATATTTAAAACCTTCCTTCTTAGCACTTTGTATCTATAACATTTAGCACCCCCAGCCTTCACTGTTGCACTGTAAGCTTAGTGCAGGACTGCTTACCTTTGTCCTCTGTGTGGGACTTTCTACGTAAAAACTGCTGTGCTTAGAACAAAGCCTGGAGCCCGGTGGTGTTTAGTGTTTACTGAGTGGAGGGATAAAAATGTACTGCTACGGGATTATGAAGGAGGACAGATTGAAAGGTAGGGTGATTGAGACGTACTTTTTACTTGGCAGCTTTTTAAGTGGATTTATGATGCATATATAGCCGTATAATAGGAAGAAGTGAGGAGACCTTGAGTTTCTATCCTAGTAACAGGCTAGTATATGTCACTCTGGGTTCCAGTATGCTTAGCCTTAAGAAAACAGAACTGGATTAGGTGATTGCTGTTGTTTCTGGTCATCTAATCTTATTAATTCTCAAAGATCTCTTAGAAAAGAGACAGCCTCATATTGTTACTACTAGTAAGTTAAGTTGGTTGAGATGTTGGATTCTCTGGGGGCCTTCATTTAAAAAGAAGACGACAGTGGTCTTGGTTACTCAGGACTCAGGATTTTTCCTTAAGTACATTTCAGAACATTTCAGGGGGACTTCCCTGATGGGTCATATGGTAAAAATCTGCCTGCAATGCGGGGGACCCAGGTTCGATCCCTGGGTTGGGAAGATTCCCTGGAGAAGTGAATGGCTACCCACTCCAGTATTCTTGCCTGGAGAATCCCCTGGACGGAGGAGCCTGGAGGACTGCAGTGTATGGGGTCTCTAAGAGTCAGACACGACTGGGCGACTGTCACATTTCAGAGCTGAGACAGAGTTTGGACATTTGATCATATACTCTTATTGTCCTTTGGGCCAAGTAGGCCCTTGGATGTTGACAGCCAGTGTTGGGGTACTTACTCTATGCCCTGTGCTCTCCAGGCACTTCACGTCGTTTACCTGTGATGTAGCTGCTTGTCTTGGAGAAGGATGAGGCACTAAAACCCCTGCCACTCACGTAGTCTCATGTCATGTAGTTTTTATTTTAGCCTTCATGGCAGCTTTAGCTGCATTTTACCGTATCTTCCGCTTAAGTTTTTCCTTGGCTGACGGCTGTTCTCTTATGAGACAGGAGTTTGAGCACAGACTCCAGTGCTAGGCTGCATGGTCGGAATACTGCCCAGTTGCTTCATAGCTGTGTGGTTCTGGGCAAGTACCTGAGCCTCTTTGTACCTGTCTTTCCTTGTGTGAAGCGAGGATGACAGTAAAATGTGTCCTATGAAGTTGTTTTGATGGTTAAATAAGCTAATATTCCTAGAAAAGAAACCCAGCACATAATAAGGGTTTAGCTCTTGTTATTACTTGAACATTTATGGTGAGTAAGGGAGAGTAGGAGACTGTGCAGTTGTGTTTAAAGGCAACTAAAAACTTACCAAAGTGAGAAAACGGTGTGTGTGTTGGAACTCTGTATGAGTGGAATCAACGAATATGTATAAATGGGATGGTGAATTGACCTGGATGGTGGTTGTACAGATGTTTGTAATAATTGATTCATTTTAATTTTCTTATTTGGTAGATTTCACAGTAAAAAAGTTTCTAAAAAATCCAATACTGTACTGAAGGGTTTAGAATGAAAAACAACAGTCCCTTCCACACTCTGTCTCAGATCCTCTCTAGTCCCTCTCGTAAGGGCAGTTACATTGAACTCTTCTAGCTGTATTCCGTTGGGCTTAATTACATTTTGTTTGGTAAATAAAATGATATTTCTCTTTTTTGTTGATTTTAAACATTTCCGATTGACTTCCTTCCCTGGTAGATGAAGATTTAGCTGTTGATGTGCTTGTCCCCATGCTCCAGTGCTACATCACATGTTATGGTCAGATTAGAAATCAGTGCTTGCATTGTCATGAGGATGCAAATAATTCATTCCTGAGCCAACACTGCTCTGTGATGTTGCTCACTTTTTGTGCATTCCTTTATTTTCCCTGAAGCTAATGATTGCCTGTTTTATAATTTGCATAGATCTTTTAAAATGTTTTTTTTTTTAAAAAAACTTCATTGTGGAGATTTTGAACATTACAGGAAGTAGGTGGAATAGTGTAATGAACTCCCATCACTCAACATCGACATGAGGCAGGTGCTGTGGATCTCTTGACTCCTTCCCAGCTCTTATTATTTAGTAACAGAAATATCATTGGTTTTGTTTTTAAAATCTAGATTCAACAAACTTGAAAATCAAGTTCATCATTTTAATGTGAAACAGTAAGAAATTTTTCCTAATGATTTTTTGTGGTGACAGTTCTCGTAATTCATTAATTTGTTCAAATTTAACTTGTGAACATAGGATTGTTAAAAATTCAGATACATGTGAGCAATCTGAAGTGTGTAATTTTGAGTAAAAAAAAATAAG